TGTATACACCTCTGTCTCTGTATACCTTCCATGGATAGTCTGTAGTCGTGTCCTACTCCTGACCTTTAAATTTCAATGTTTAGTTAGTCTGTGGTCTTGTCCACCATCACCTCCCTGTGCACTCTGTACACCCCTATGTATGACTCATGAGTCCCCTGTGTAGTCAGTAGACATTGTTTTGGTAGCGATTCTCAAGAAAGTATTTGTGGAAAAGTTTTTGTTCACTAATAGTTTTCTATTGAATCCCATCCCCCTATCGCTACCCCTATCACTCCTTTATGCGTTATGTCTTAAGTTTGGATACATTTAGTGATGTCTAAGCCGTGGACAGCGTTTTGTTTGCGACCTACTAATGGATGCGCTTTTATTTACCCAAAATACAGATAATCTTCGGTCAATCAGTGCCTGTGATTCAGTCGAACTCAAACTCATTAACGAATCACTTGTCGGTGTCGTCGGCCTCACCGCAGATGATGTCCATTCACGGCAACAACTCGGGCGGCAGTCAGTCCTCATCAGGCCATACGCCTAACCATAACTGCGATTCCAATCTGTCGACCGCATCGGCCGGTAGTCATAATAGCGATAAAGATATGGACAATACGCCCGAGAAGTGCCGGAACCAGTCATCGGGTGGTTCTTCGGGACCCATGAGCGCCGGCGGTGCACAGCAGCCGCAGACCATTGACCGGAAGCGTAGGAAAAAGGCCAGCGATGGCACCCCCGCTGAGCAACAACCTAACGGTCCGTTGATAGTCGCCAATTGATTGGCGTATTTGTGGCTAATTTTTGTTTGATTTTGTCGACAACTATAGCGTCGAAACAAATGCGCGGAAATGAAGGAAATAAGAAAATTAATGAATATTTTAAGGTATAATTAATTTTGTGATTTTTGTTATTAAGTTTTCACATGTTTTTTGCCGTTAAACAAGTGTTTGGTTTTAGATTTTTAGATTTTAATCCATTTATTAATTTAGTTTTTTTGTCAAACTTATAGTTTTATTTTTAAGATTAACTTTTCTCGCAATTAATTACCAAATTGTTTATCAGTAAAGGAAATACAGATTTGAGTGAAAAAATAAAATGTGAGACATTTTTGCAACAAAAATGCAAATTACATAATCAAAAGCCATTTTATAAATGCGAGAATAAATAGTTTACATAAACTATTAAAGCAAACATTTTTTGAGGCAAAAGCATAAATCATTGTATAAATAGATATTTTGAATGAAAATTTTAGTGTTAAATACTTGTCATGAAATGAGCGCTAATTCAATGTTTGTCTCAATCACTATAGCACTCAAGTCCTAGTCGTTATGGCGGCACCAAATCCCCGACCGCAACACATAGTTTCTATATGTATCCGCCCTCACCGGGCGGTACCCACCAGCCGGTGCCCACCGGTGTCGCCACACTGGGCTCGCCCACCATCAGCGGCCCACTGCCCCCCACGGAGCTGTCGTCGATGATGGCGCCGCCCGCGCCCGCCCAGCGGCCACCAGTCGGCGCCAATTCCACGAAGAACTCGCAGCAAAGCTGTCCGCCATCGCTCTCATCGAACATGTATTCCCAATCATACGCCGGCGTCGTGCCGGGCGGCCAATCATCCCCATCGACGACAATGCCGTTGTCTGCGGCGGCGGCCGCCGCTGCCGCTCAGGTGTGCTCGCGAGCCGTGCAGACAGACCTGTCGGTGAAGTCATTGCGTGATATGGAGGCGAAGTCGGCTCACGATCTCGAGACCAGGGATACGAAGATCGACGAGTTGTGCCGATCGGGCGATGAACAGAAACGCCAACTCCAGGCCCAACAGAAGCTCATCGACAAGCAGAAGGAACAGCTGAATAAGTGTATTGATGTCACCAAACAGTTACTCATCGAGAAGTCGGCGATGGAGAAGAAGGCCGCCCGACAGAAGTGTATGCAAAATAGGTTAAGATTAGGACAGTTTGTTACACAACGACAAGGTATTAGAAGTAATTATCGAAACAATTGGTTTTTTCTCTTTTGGTTTTCTCCCGCCCTGTCTATGCCCTCGAAGTTACAGTACATCTCGTTATGATTTGCCAGTCAAATGCGTTTTCATTCAATTATCTACCCGTCCATCTATCGTACTAATCTCCGGTTTATCTGTGTTTTTAGTTTTCTGTTGACTTTGATTTTTGTTAATTGTTTAACACTTTGTTTTTTATTTCAATTGATTTATTATTATACTAATCACTCCTCTCATAAGTGTATTAATTAATTAATTATCGTTTAACACGTTCTCTCTCTCTCTCTCTCTCTCTCTCTCTGATTGTCTTTTATCCTATCGTTGCCTGTATAGTGAACTTATACCTAAACTTTTATGAGTTCACCATAAGCTCTATCCACTGCTTTACTAACAAAACGCATAATGAGTTCCCGTTTATACTGACTATAAGAGCCATAATAACTAAAAGGTGTGTTCGTCTCTCGTTTGTCTCTGACCTACAGGTGCCTCATTTGTGGAGAACTGGGTGGACGGCCACGCGTTCACAGAACTGATCCGAAAACAGGAACAAATAGCCGCCGCTCGCGAAGAGATCGAACGCCAAAGAAAACTATTGGGCAAAAAGAGGCCGTCCCTGACGACCGCCAAGTCCAAGACGGGCAACGGGAGCGGCTCCGGGAGCACGACACTGGTGTCGGCGATCACCATACCGGGCGTGAACACGGGCTCGAACAGCAGCTCGTCGTCATCCCTGTCCAACGGGGACTTCCTGAAGCCCGAGTCACCCAAGGATGTGGGCATGAATTGGTACGAGTACTACGAACAGGACGAGATCCTGAAGCTGCGGTCACAGGCGCTCAAGAAGGAGGACACAGACCTGCAGCTGGAACTCGAGAAACTGGAGCGCGAACGCAATCTCCACATCCGGGAACTCAAGCGCATCCACAACGAGGACCAGTCCCGCTTCAACAACCACCCGACCCTTAATGATAGATACCTATTGTTGATATTGCTGGGGAAAGGTATGTAGTGTCTAATGAGTGTGTGTGTGTGTGTGTGAGTGTGTAATTAGTGTCTAATGAGTGTGTGTAGTGTGTAATGTAATGAGTGTGTAATGGCATACCGGTGCTCATGAGTGTACGTGTGATTTGCAGGCGGTTTTAGTGAAGTGCACAAAGCGTTTGACCTGAAGGACCAGCGGTACGTGGCCTGTAAGATACATCAGCTCAATAAGGACTGGAAGGACGACAAGAAAGCCAATTACATAAAGCACGCGCTCCGGGAGTACAACATTCACAAGCAGTTAGACCACCCGCGAGTGGTCCGCCTCTACGACGTGTTCGAGATCGACGCCAACTCCTTCTGCACTGTCCTCGAGTACTGCGACGGACACGACCTCGACTTCTACCTGAAACAGCATAAGTCGATACCCGAGAGGGAGGCGCGCTCTATCATCATGCAAGTGGTCCACGCACTCAAGTATCTCAACGAAATTAAGCCCCCAATCATCCATTACGACCTCAAACCTGGTTTGTACTCACATTTCAGACACTTGTTTACGATATCTGTTAATCATATTTGTGTTAAGCACTGAGTTTTGTGATTAAGTGATAGTTAGCTATAGATTTAGTGAATTTAGTATTGATTTAATGATTATTCATTAAAATATATTAATGTGTTTTGTGTTTGTTTGCTACGACAGGTAATATCCTATTGGGTTCGGGGACTGTTTCGGGCGAAATCAAGATCACAGACTTTGGTTTAAGTAAAATAATGGATGACGAGAACTACTCGCCCGACCACGGCATGGACCTGACATCCCAGGGCGCCGGCACCTACTGGTACTTACCTCCCGAGTGCTTCGTAGTCGGCAAAAATCCACCAAAAATATCATCGAAAGTAGACGTATGTCTTGATTTTCATTCAAATTAGTGTTTTTCCGTTACGTACTTAGCCTTCAAATATGTCTTGTTTCACACATTTTGTATTGAGTTTCGTTTGAATTGCAATTATTTATTAACTTTTAATTGAGTGTAAAATTATATTTCCTTTTCTCGTTTCATTCATAAAAACTTTCCGTTAGTTTTGAAATCAATTCTTAATTACTTTTTTAAAATTTTTATTTTCCAAACTAATGTATGTTTTGTTTTTGTTAATGTCTGGCCATTAGGTGTGGAGCGTAGGCGTGATTTTCTATCAGTGTCTGTACGGCAAAAAAGTAAGTTATTTAATACTCTGTGGTTTATGGACTCAAATTTCAAACACAATTAACTGTAAACAAATTGTGTGTGAAGTTTGGTTTCAAATTTATTGCTTTGTTTGTGTATTAATTGTGTGTTTGTGTTGATACTACCAGCCCTTTGGACACAACCAATCGCAGGCCACTATTTTAGAAGAAAATACTATTTTGAAAGCAACTGAAGTGGAGTTCGCCGCTAAACCTTCAGTCAGTCCCGAAGCTAAGGTCAGTATTAGTGACACTGTTTTGAGACTATTGACAGATTCTGTACTAATGGACAGGGATTGTAGGCATAATTGAATTGAATTCATAGTGATCTAAATTAATGTATGTTTGCCTCCAATGAACAGCAATTCATTCGCCGATGTCTTCAGTACCGCAAAGAGGACCGGATCGACGTGATAGCCATGTCTAACGACGAGTACCTGAGGCCGAGTACCAAAGGCAGAGGGGGGGCCATGGCGTCCGACAAAGGCTTATGAGAGCGGGACGACCACTGACTGAGCCCTCACTCATTGTTTTGTTTATTTTGTAAATTATTATTAGGAGAACACAAACAAGTGATAAGAACTCTATATTTAAATTACAAACCAATTGAAGACAAATGAAGAGAAACAGCATTTTCAGTGATTCAGTCATCACACGAGTCGACTACAAAACAAAGTGCTGTTTATCTCTCCGTTTGTTTCCTCACACGTCTCGTCGCAATCCATCAGTGCTTATGTGGTGTTGTTTACGGCGACCACCGCTCGCAACTGGACTTATATTTTCACATTTTGTTCATATTTTGCGATTTATTTGAAATTAAAAACAAATCTTTCATCTCTTCTGTGACACCACACACGCGACGAGAGACACATCCGTATCGGACGAACACTACCGGCGCGATGGGAAACACACGTTAAATAATACTATGTATACAATATAATAGCCAACAAATCGACAAACATTTCGAGAGACGATTGCATTGTGTGTGTGTTTTGCCATCCGATTAGTGCTGTTATTATATATATAATCCACTGAAAAGTCGTTCAGATTTTTCACTTATAAAGACAAAAAACATTTAGATTTTCAATTAAGTTATTAATTAATTATAATAATTATTACCATTTATTGAGATATTGAAATGAATTTCCAATGAAACCCACGAAACAAACTACTCTTGACATCAAATTCATACGAAAACTGCGTTTTTCTCGACAATTATTATATTTTTCTGAAGAAATGCCCGAAAATACGAGAGAAAAATACGACAAAAATGCGACAAAAAATTGTTTTAAAATTTGTTTTTCTCAAAAATTTTCTGTGAATTTCACTGATTTCTTATATATTTTTTAATTTTTGGTTTCAATTATTGAATAATAAATGTTGTGTTCATTAGAGGCAAACGAAAACAGCGACGAAATGTTTACCAAAAGTTTTTATAAGTTTTTTCAAAATACTATTGCATTGATTACACGGGATTTCATTGACTGACTGTTTGTTTGAAAAATGATTTAAATTAATAAAAATTATAATTATTTAAAAATTAAATACGAAATTATTTTATTTAACATTAAATAGATTTTCACTTTGAATTTGTGTCCAAAATTTCTAAAACAGTTTTCTCAGCACTTAATGAATGCGATAATGATATGCAAAACGAGACGAAAATATTTGTTGAAATGATTTTGAATTTAGTTTTGATTACGAAAAGTCAATTGAATTGATTATTGAATTCAAACTCCTACTCATTTGTCGATAATTAGTATTTTTGTGTAAATGATTTGTGTTTCTAATAATCAATTGAAGACAAAAAGTATTTGAAAGTGTTTTCACCACTGAATGGGATCTTAATATCGATATTAATAATGAAGTATACAATGAATGAAATCTTTAATAATCACGTAATCGTAGACATAAAGTGACACAAAATGTTTGCATCTATTGATACGATTGGATGTAATATTTCTTATGATGAGAAAATTATTGCAAATTATTGTGAATACTATGGAAACAAAACTCAGCCATCATTTCGGCGTCGAGTGGCCAGGGATTCAATTGTTTGAAAGCCAACAGAAATACTCGTTTCAATAAAAAAGAGTTCAAAACTTCAGTCTCTTTTTCATGTCATATATTATTATATAATAATTGAATCGAAAATTACACGAAATATATACAAATATAAGAAGAAATATACAAAAGATTTTCGTAAATAATAATTAAATAATAATTTGGGCGTAAAATGCGATAATATAACTAATTTTCAAAACTATATTATTATATAATTATTATTGAAGTAATAATTATTAATCCGTTTCTGTGATCATCCGTTTAATGGGACAAAAAACACTACAAATGAGATATTAATTGAAAAATTAAATGAAACCTTAAATACAAATCCAACAAAAAATATATATATAAATATTAATTGAATGAAAACTTTTGATTTAATTTAAACATTATTTGAATTGATTTTTAGACTTATTTTGAATTTGAGTTGTTTTCTCAACAAATTGTCATCTTTTTTGTCAACATCTCTGAAAAAATGTAATATTTTTGAGTTTTCTGTGAAATAAGTATTTCTTATAATTTATGATTAATTATCGAGAAAACGAAACAACAAAATGTTTTTCCAATTTTTAAGCAAAAACACAATTTTTCAATTAATAATTTGTTAATTAATTATTTTTTGTGTCTCTCGACTACTATTTGAATGAATGCGAAAAGAATGTTAAAACTCATCGACATTTCAATTGAAAATTTAATAAAAATATTGAAATTATTATAAATATTTTGTTAACTATTTATTTGCTATTTAAATTATAATTTTATTTCTATGATAACCTTGATGATTATGAACTTGAAATTAGTATAATTATACTAACTTAGAGTATGTTTACTATACTTTTATATAAATTAATTATATTGAGACATAATATTTAGAAAATAATGATTTAAACCGTTTCATAGAATATTAATATTTAATATAATTAATTGACATTTGTTATACATTTTCAATTATTTAAACTTTTAATTTAAAATTAATCAATTTTGAAATAATTTTTAATGGTATGCAAATTATATTTCAATTAAACTCGGAGTCCTATTATTCTATAATACTAAAAATAGAAATGTGCACAATTACTTTATTCTGGTTTTACAGCATATTAAAAATACAATTATTTGAATGCAATACAGAATACACTATTCATGTAGAGTACACTTAATTCATTGTATGATAAATTCTGTATATTCTCATCAAATGTTTACTACAAAATTTATTTAACGGTATTAATTTTTAATTACTAGATCTCTAAAAATATTTATCCTTTACTTTATTGATTTTATTTAAAAGGTTAGTAAATGATATGAGGAGAGAGTTTAAAAATAATTAAAATTAACAAACGGTTAACATGTGAACTGGTATGATTTTCAATTCAAATAGCAGTCTATTTGCTAAAGGATTAAGTGCTTGAAATCATAAACTGATTTCCACTTAATAATCACGAAAATTAGATATTTCGAGAATAGATTATTTAATTGATCACACGTATAGGGATAAAAATAGTGGTATATTGAGAAATAAATCACACAATACAAGGAACTCATCCTAATAAACACCAAATTCATTAGTAATTCATTGTTAATTTCTGGGAATAGTCAAAATAAATCTTGTCTATTTTCTAAATAAAATTTCCATATATTGAATTTATTGCTATGTTTAGTTTTAAGCCTAATATTCATTAACGAGATTACACTGAATTTATAATAAAAACGGTAGCAACTAATGTCTTGTAATCACAGAATTACCTTGAGCTTACACACTCAGTGGATCAGTCTATTTTGTTTCATAGCCTCACGTGTAATACTTTATATATTTAGCTATATTACCATTCAGATATATTGGTTCATTTGTTATGTAATTTACACTTTTATTATTATGTTATATATCAAGATATGTAGACATACCTGTGCCAAAGTGTTATGAGAAGTCCTCTTAAATTATGCAATGAGTACCTTATCAAAATAAAATGCCATTAAACCACTGCATAATTTACATCACAGTCATATCAACCAATAACTAATCCCGAAAAGATTTATAAATTTTGTAAACAACTTTGTTATATCTTAGCAAAATTAAATTGCCGTTTGAAGTGCAGATAATTTATAAAAATCTTTATTATATTAATATAACCGTACGAACTGTGAACACATTTAGTGCAGTATGAGTTTAATAATTTTTTATTAAGTTGTCCAGACAATTGATTATTATTGTATGTTTCTAAATTTATGGGCGATAATTAATGCATGTTTATTAATATTTATTATTATTATATTTAATAATGTTATGAATTCAATATTTGTTGCGTCAATAGGATGCAGAATTTATAACAGAATCTAATATACTTTATAAAATTTACATAAATAAATTTAAATATTTATGCATTTAAATAAAATATATTATGTTTTTGCAAAGGATGATACTTTACTACATTGTACTAAATTTAATTACTTTAAATGAACCCCTCCCCTCATCACCTAATATAACATAATATAATTATATAATTATATAAAGCTCATTTAGCTTTTTTTTTTGCTTTTCTTAGATTCTTACAAATGTTATTTAATAAACAGGAATTTGTATACTGTAGCATTATAATCCATAAGAATGTGAACTTTTAAAATCTATAATAATTGTTTTCTAATTAATATCAGGTCTTTTAACTTATTATTATCTGATTTCTTGGCATTATCTTAAGATATTGAACAGAAAATAATAAATAATTAAATAATAGGTGTTCTGTACTGTAATGCCAAATACCCCTCCATGAGAGACGGTCTAATAGTATTGAATATTACTGTTTATATTTGCTTGACAAGTTAAATCTTAAACAAATTGACAAAAAGTGCAAAAATAACAATTATATCGTAATTTTCACACAACACTATATGTTTTTTATATATGAATTTTATAAAACTACAGTTCAAATGGACTTGGATGTCAGCCAAAAGGACATTATCTTATATACCTATAATTAATAGATTTTATAACATTAATATTTTGTTTAAATATTTATTTCCATATCAAGAATATTATACATTTTATATAATATAATATTATTTCTGAAAATATTTCAAATATAAACTATAAGATTTTTAATAAAGTTGATATATTTCTTAAAGTTAAGTGTACACTGTACATAGTATATTTAAATGATTTCTTATTTTATATCATAATACTAGTAAGCAATTGTAGTAAAATATTTAATTAAATATTCAGTTTATAAAAGTTAGCAGTATTTGCATAATTAGATGAAATATTGATTTATTTTTTGCTTTATATTAGTTTAACAGTTTATACAAAACTAAATTCTGCTGTAAAAATACTTTGATATTTCAAAATGATTACTAAAATCATAAAAATAAATATTGAGATTCATTTTGATGTAATGAAAAATATTTTATTATTTTATTTCAGCGAAATTATTATTTTTACTTATGTACATTATAGATATTATATTATGTCTCGTTTTATAATACCTGTGACATTCAAACAAAATTTTATAATGACCTTGTTAATTACGTAATCACTTATCATACTATTCACGAGTATTTGATTAATCGTTTCGAAAAAAGTTTTTATTATTATATCTTATTTTGAAAATTAAAGGATATTTATGGGAAATAAAGGGTTTATGTGTTCTTATAATGCAATTAAAATTGAAATAATTTTTTTGATCATATATTTTATTGCATTGTTTT